ACTTCAGTTATTAGCTACATAATTGAATCTTAGTGTTTAACATTTTAGTTGATCATATTTTGTGTGATAAGTAGTAAGCTCAAACCGGTTTCTTCCCAACACTTGGGAATTTTGAAGATCAATGTTATAAATTAAAGCGTTAATTTTATTTATTGACACTACCCGCTGTGTTGAGCTAGAGGATGAGAGACTTGGGGTTACTAAGTCTCGAAGACATGCTTACATAACAACGCTTTAGTTCTAAAAAGACTTCGAGTCTTAAGTATTAAATGATGTAGAACCAATGCGAGAAGGAAGAGGAATTGGAAAAATGTCCAAGAAGAACATATTAGATATAGATAGTAAAGACAAAAAAGTGGTTTGGTACAGGATAAATATTACAAGAATTCGAGTACTTCAACTATAAGGTATTGAATCACTTAGCTCACAAGTGTTTGAGCTAAAGGATATTATACTAGAATATATTTCTCCGGTGTTATCTAGATGACAAATATTACTTATTAGATCTTATCCTTTATGGATTCAAGAGTAAGAAACCACTTAGTGCAAGATCATGTCTTTAGTGAGTTGTCGAGTCTTTGATTTGGTAAAAAATAGATATATGCCAATAATGAAGTTAAAGTGGGTGTTTATATGACTGGTACATGCAACATAGAATTTCCAAGTGCAAGCAAGTTCATTATATTCTTCTTTTTGTGATTTTGTCAAATTTGTAAGAAATTTGACATCTATGACTTTTGAAATTTTTCGTTGAATCAAAATCTTCTTCATATTTTGTTGCCAAATTGAAAACTTCTCTTTCTCATTGAAAATCTCAACTTCGAAATTTAAAGACATTTTTGAAACCAAATTGCACAAATAGGTCATACAAAGTAATCATAAGGTCGCAATATATATTATTCTAGATTCTTAGAGTTTCGTGAGACTCAAGATCTCAATATCAAGGGGATGTTTAAATGAGTCAAGTCTGGCCTCAGAAGCTAATTTAATCTTATAAAGAATGAATTTACTTCATTTTCTTAACTTAAAATGTTTACTTATGCTAGTACGTTTATGGCCTGTGGGCTTTAGCAATTATATATAGTAGATAGCGGCCATAATTTACCTTCATTTGTACAATATTCTCTCTACATTAAGTTGCTAAGTCAGCTAATTAGGAATCTCAATTTTGGCTATTAAATTGCAGTGCCAACCATAAAGCAGTATAATTGAGCAGGAAAGAAAGAAGCAATTTTGTCCCTTTGATGCTATATAAACACTAACTAAAACGAAAATGAGAAACAGAATACAAATGATAAAAATCATGGAGGTTCAACGCTCTCATTCTATTGTTTTGCCGTTGATCTGTATGATTTTAATTTGTTTCTCATGGATGGGAGCTGGGGCAAAGCCACAATTTACAGCAATGTACGTGTTTGGTGATTCACTTAGCGATCCCGGAAACAATCTATATTTCCACGTAACAGCAACAAAATCCAACTATTTTCCTTATGGTATCGATTTCTCTGATGGACCTACTGGAAGATTCTGTAATGGGAAGATCATAGTAGACTTTCTTGGTATCTGTCACTGACTTACTTTTCCTTGCATTTAGACCATATTCATATTTCAAGGTTTAAACTGCATATATCATTTCTCTATGTTCACTGTTATTTCCATTGTATGAAGCTGAATTGGTGGGATTGCCTCTGCTTCCGCCCTACAAAAATCCTAATACTACTGGGAAAAACATTCACAAACCCCATTTAATACGAAGTCGTGCAGCAGGAATTCTTGATGAGAGTGGAATTAATTTTGTAATGTCTACTACATTCAATGGTTTCGTTCTAATCATCACATAATTTATTTTTCATTCATAACTCAAAAAAACATGAATTTCAGGGTCACCGGATCCCTTTAAGTGAACAAATTCAGAACTTCAACAACACCGTGAATCAACTGAGAAATCAAATGGAAGAGGAAATGAGCCAATATCTGGCAAATGCTTTAGTATTAATGGCCATTGGTGCAAATGACTACAGTAACAATTATCTGATGCCTCAAATATACAGAAGCAGCCAACTTTACAGTCCAGAGGATTTTGCTGATCTTCTCATAAATCAATATGCGAGTTATATACAGGTTTGGGCCGCAAGCACACTTCTTCTATGGAGACATGTTCGTGTACGACATGCATCATGGCATGTCGAACACTGACACTCCATGTCCAGGGACGGATCCAGGATCGGATGACGGGGGGCTAATACGTAAAAAAAAANATGCGAGTTATGTACAGGTTTGGGCCGCAAGCACACTTCTTCTATGGCGACATGTTCGTGTACGACATGCATCATGGCATGTCGAACACTGACACTCCATGTCGATAAGCCACATAACATATCTTGTTTTTTATATATTATATTTCTAATTCTCAAGGGATACTTAGGAGACAATCCTCGGGCAAGTATTCGATATGCTGTGTGATGTGTCATGCTATAAATTACATAATAAAGACACACATAAGTTTTTTATTATAAAATTTAAACCAATGTATCCGTGTCATACTTTTTCTCATCACTTGGCGATATGTCTGTGTACGTGTCCATGCAACATAGGGGATGGCCAACTGAGCAGTGTTCTAGTTTTTCATTAATTACAAGCAGTGATTATACAGTGCAATCGCTGCCTGCTCAAGGATTACAGATACTGGACAACTGTGGCCCCATGAAATTAATATTACTGTTTTGTAGGAACTCCACAACTTGGGTTTAAAGAAGTTCTTTTTAGTGGATATTCCACCAATTGGATGCACGCCTCTTGAACTGATCACTGGCCATGCTCTACCAGGACAGTGCATATCAAGTACTAATAACGTTGTGAAAATGTTTAACTTACGACTTAAGTCTCTTGTTGCTCGCCTAAATTCAGATTTCCAAGATTCTCAGTTCGTTTATGGCCCTGCTTACAGATGGTTTTTTGAGTTGCATGACAGTTCCTCTGCTTATGGTAAGAACAACCTTATTGCATCAGTTTTTGTACATAGATAATATGTTGACATTGAAAAATGCTAAAGTTTGTTACGTCATCTTCTTATAGGGTTTCTGGTAACGGACAAAGGATGTTGTCGCATTGGACCAAAAAATTTTGAACTACTATGTCTTCCATCACAAATTCCATGTACCAATAGAAACCAATACCTGTTTTGGGATTATGCTCATCCAACACAAGCTGCGAATCAAATTATCGCCCAATGGGCATATAACGGCAGTTTTTTCAGCTCTTATCCGAGGAACGTACAACAAATGGCAAAGATTTAAACTTATTGGGATTTGCAAGACCGAATGTACTTATATCAATTCTCAAGAACTTATACCTGTTTTGGGATTATGCTCATCTATGCTTGATCAATTGTTTTAGGGATTTCTTTTTGTAATATGTGATGTCTTAAAGTTTTCGATGTTTTGCAACAGAGTAACATATAACTACTCATTCTATTGCATCGTTCTCTCTTGAAAAATATTGTTTCTGAAACATGTTATTGTGCTTATGTTTGGGCTCCATTTTAATTTTAATGCATTTTTCTGTTTCTTTTTTTTTGTTCACATATTATTCAATAAAATAATATTAGATGTAAATCTAAAACTTTTCCTTCTTTTTTAACTCTACATTCTCCAAAATCACTATTTCAAAATTTATTTTTCCTTGAAAACTAATTTTAATGGAGTCTAAACAGGGGCTATATGTAAAAAACAATATAGGTGGAAGTCATATTACTATGTGTTTCTTTTCTGTGTTGTTCACTAATGAAGATAACTAAACATGTTGTGCTAATGCAACTCAGTCCCTTTGTGTCATGTCCCAATATCTAACTCTTATTTCTTTGTCCTGATTTGTTGTTATTTTTGTATTGATGTCTGTTAATTAACTAGGTTTTGCTTAAAATATTTATGTCTACAAAAATCATGATTTTTCCTCAAACACCTATACACGTCGCTACAATTTGTTCTTGTTATACTTTTTTAGATGTAAAATTATTTTTTATTTTTAGACGTTTAGAGTTCAATGATTACATTGTATGATCGACAAATACATTTTATTTTCACCACTATTTTTCCCATATATTTTCCAGTGACATGATTATATTATGAATGATTACTTTTCATTGAAAATTGATGCACATAGAAGTGAGCAAGAACAATAAAACACGATCATGATTCGTTCAGTTCGTCAACGAATATCAAATAGTAACCAATAACTAGTCAAAAAGTCCAGACTTATTAATTTAATTTAGGTAAAATTGTAGCAAAATCCCAAAACCTTTAGAACACTTGCTGACATTCCTCAAGCGTTTCAATCGTTGCAGCCGTCGCTCATAACCTTTCCAACCATTGCATGTGAGGCCCTTTTGAACGATTTTCATCCAAGAAGCCGTCAGTTCACCACCAAAATTGAAATTGACCCTTTTTTTTTAAAAAAATAATTTTAAAAAGGTAAAATAGTAGACTTAATTTTATCACATTAAACAGTTAAAATAATTACACTAAAAAACCAAAAAAAATAAAAAAAAAAAAGGAAAAAAAAAATTGCATCTTCTTCTTCCTCCCACCCTATCCCCATCCCCCACCTTAAACCCCACCTAAAACCATAAAATTTGCCACTCCTCCACCGGCCACCATCACCCAGCATAGTTTTCATAAATATGGACTTGCAATAACTTATGATCCCTTCAATTGCAAACCCATAATCATTCGAAGAGTTTCTCTGTAGTGCCCCGAAAATTTTGGAATAAAATTTTATTTGTTTTATATACTATATTTTAGTATTTTGAAAAAAAAAAAGAGAGGACTAAAATGAAATAGGTTTTATATTCCTCTCTTATTTGAACCAAATAATTATGTAATAGTGTAAATGTTGATTTTGATAATGATATACGTGCATTCATATTTCGTTCAAAAGAAAAGTCATTTTATTTATCGAGGTAAGATACTTCTATTCAAGTAGTTTGCTTCCCTATACTTTTATATTCGACAATTTATACATAAATTGCCAGTGAGCCTTCGGGTTCTTTATTAAGAAATAAGAGATTCTATGAAAATTTAAGATGACCTAAAACGGGTGTGTCGCTTGATCACCGATATACTTCATAAGAGAAGATTGGTATGAAAACTGTACGTATCTTATTAGGTGTTTTTAAATACTCGCTCTTATAAAATTTTATAGGTTAGTTTAGGTCGATTGGAAGAGTGGTGGTATGGTGAATGCGACCGTCAAGAGAAAATCAAAGAGATAAAACATTAAGTATATTTTTTTTCCTTTAAATTATTAGTTAATTTAATTTGTTCGAAAGTAGTTATTTAATTTGTTATTATGTTTTCATTATTGATATTCCAGTTATTTTTATTTAAAGAATATTATTTTATTGTTTCAAAGAAAATTGAATTTTTGGTAACACTCCAATATTTGTGAAATTTTGGGGCGTTACAATTTGGTATCAGAGCCACGTTTTGCTTTCCTATAGACTTTGTAGTAAAAAAAAAATTATTTTCTTTTCTTTTCTTTTCTTTTGTTAAATAAATGATATTAATAATTGTTTTAAGTAATTAAATAATAGTTTTTAAGCACTACTTCAAATTACGATTGTACATATTTGTATGTTTAGTTTTAGTTTTCAGGTGGTATTTTAAAATTTACTAATTAGAAAATTCATATTTTAAGAGGTCTCAATTTCCATTTATTGTTTGAGTTTCTGATTTACGTATTCACAAGATTAAAAGACTATGTCAAACAGATTTAAACTGTCAAAGAAGAACTTGTGATTTAAGCGGTCCACTTGTTTGGTTGCGCGTTATTCAAATTAATGAAATGAAAAACAATAATTCAACCTTTCCAAATTTAAGAATATTCTATTTTCTAGAAATTTCTATTTCGAGAAAATCCTATTTTTTGAATGAAAGAAAGAAACAAAAAAGAGGGGGTATTTTTCATAAACTTTAGGAGCTTAAAGATAATGTAAAGTTTTAAACATACAATGTTATAAAGAATCATTAGCATGCGACGCTCACTATTTGACCACTCTCCAATTGTTCTCAGGTATGAAATAAAATGTTATTCATTTATTACGATTATGAGTTTCTTGATTTATGTTATGATATATTGTATTATGCTAATGGTCAAGTATTTAGAACTTTTCAAGTAGTTGAGGTAATTTCGAGAACGAAATATTTTAAAGAGAGGAGATTGTAACGCCCCAAAAATTTTAGAAGAAAATTTTATTTGTTTTATATACTATATTTTTAGTATTTTGAAAAACAAAATGAGGACTAAAATGAAATAAGTTTTAAATTCCTATCTTATTTGAGCCAAATAATTATGTATCGATAGATTGATAAATGTTGATTTTGATAATGATAATCTTTTTGTGATTTGGATGGAGTTTGATTGCAATCTTAATTTGACAAAGTTTAAAAGTAATCATAATTCTATTTTTTGAAATCAATTCTTATCCAATTTGGTAGACATGATTTTTCATCCCAATTATACCATGACTCAACCAGTATTTTTTTCCAGTATTTTTTTTTACTAAAATAATGTGCAATTGTCCCATAATTCATCATCAAAGAATTTTACACGACAGCTTTCATATAAAACAGCTGTAAATTGCAAGTATATATATCATTTTATTTATTTTTAATCAAAAGCTCATTTGATAAATTAAGGTAATATACTACGGGATCTTTATTAAGAGATATGAGATCCTACGAGAATTTAAAATGACCTAAGATTGGTGTGTCACTTGGTCACCGATATACTCCATAAGAGAAGAGGTGTACGAAGTGTTTATTTTGTTATTATATAATTGTGTATGGAAACTGCATGTATTTTACTAGGTATTTTTAAATACTTACTTTTACAAAATGTTACATGTTAGTTTAGGTCGAATGAGACAATGGCGGGATGGTGAATGCGACTGCCAAGAGGAATCGAAAAGATAAGACATTAAGTTTATTTTTTTCCCTTTAAATTATTAGCCAGTTTAATTTGTTCAAAAACAATTGTTTAATATGCGATTTTGTTTTCATTTTGGATATTCTAGTTACTTGTAGTTAAAGAATATTATTTTATCGTTCTACAAAAAAATTGAATTTTTGGTAACACTCTAGTGTTTGTGAAATTTTGGGGTGTTACGTTCTCTTTGACACATTTGTATATGAAAGTCCAAGAATAGCTAGCCAAAAGGGGGTGAATTGATTTTTAAAACATTTTCGAAAGGTTACTTCAAAATTTAAACAAGTTTGGAATAAATATTTCAATCAAAGAAAGTGTACAAATATGAAAGCGATAAGTAAAATGAAAGAGAATAAGCAAATGATATAATTGTGGAGGTTTGATCCAAATCTATGATCTACGTCCTTCGTTATTGAGCTCCTATGGTCAAATCCAAACCCTTATAATGCTTTCGGTGACTTACAAATAAGGAGCACTGACTCTTATACAATATTGAGCTTTACTGGAACTCAATATGACCCACAAATTTGAAGAGAAATGATTTTACAATTTGAAACATCTCTCTTAATAAATGATATAAACAAATTAAGTACTAAAACAGGAAGAATTTAACACTTCAATGAATAGCAATAATTGAATACTCAAGTGTTAAATGAGAAAACTTTGACAATAAAGACGAATGAAAAAATTGATTCAATCAATTAAAAACGTTTTCACAATAATTGATTTGATGATAAATAGGATGTAAGATCAAATGTAATTTTTGCTCAATGATATCTCACTTTAATGCTCTAAAAAAGTCTATCAACTAATGCAAAAAGTGAATGATTTATAGAGTTCAATAAGTAAAAATATCTACGGAACCTTATGTCCGCTTTCGAGTTCGAATATACAAAAACTAGCCATTATGCACCAAACATCAGAACCGTAAAAAAAGTGATCGTTACATGATCCGGATATTCGGATGACCTGGACGTCTGCATTTCAAGAGTTTGATCTATTTTTTCTTTTACAAAGTCCGATGTGAATAGTTTTTGAAAATGTGACTTAAGTTCACTTATGATTTTGAAAATCAATTTTCTCTTTAAAAACAAATAATTTATGCAAGTGATGATCAAAGTAACTTTAGCACATAAAAATGGTTCTTGAGTTTTTATCGTTTAGTACTGAGAATTAAAGTGTTTATACCTTACAAGTGAATATAAAAGTTTAATCCAATATCTTCCTTTGATGCTTGACGATTGAAGTTATTTGTTTTCAATGATTTATCTTGAATGCTCGACTTTCATCACTTTGTTCATTGTAAGTCCGA